TAACGCCGCGCCAAAAACCACCGTGGTGATTCTCGCCCACTTGTACAATTAACCATGCCGGAGCCTCTCCACACACGTGCAGCAGCGGCTATTTGATTAATCAGTGACACATCGTCACAGGTACCCTTGGTTTGATATCATTACTTATCCAGCAGAGTCGCAGTGGTATGCACAGTGACACGCAATAGCAGAGGCTAATCACCTGTTGTGCACACTATGACGATCAGATTTCACTATTTCTTTTAACATGCCATTCACGGAGCATTGCATTGGTTACTAAAGGGGATTATTCACTTATGTAAACGCAGTGCTGCTAGGTCGATTTCGATGCGAAGTGCTAAGCAAACAGCATTACTTTGGAAGCCCTTCATATGACCAGGTAAATATTTTAACTGCATATCATAAGGCATCAGATGTCGCAGTAGGCTGCAATATACATATATATATATACGTAGTAAATATATGTATATATATGTATATCTAGCTACGTATATATATATTTACACATGTATGCATATATTCCGTTTCCTATGCAATTTCATGCGTACCAATTCGTTGCATGCATACATCCTTTTATGGGTGTACAAATTGCGTATCCGTCTGCGCAGGTATGCATGTATATTCAACCAATGATTATACATGTAAATAATATATATATATACACTAATATATATATATATATATTTGTGTGTGTGTATATATATATATATATACAAACATGATGACAACATAGAAACAGGCATATATATATAGATGTATTTATAGATGCATATATATATATATATGTATATATATGTATATTTACACCGCGATATTGAAATACGTAACTTAATGAGACTTCTGGATATACATATATGTGTCCATATGTACATATATACGTATATATTTGCAATTACATTTATATATATATATATACATATGTAAACATATATATCTGCATGTACGCATACATATACGCAGATATACATATCTGCTAGTCTCCCTTCAATTACATATATATATGTAAACATATATTTCCGAATACATATATATATGTATATATATATATATATACATATATATATATATGTAGAAGGGGTAATATCAGGCGTAGATTTAAAACAATGTCTATGTATAATTATGCATATATATATATATATACATATATATATATATAAAGAGAGATAGAGCGTTATATGTGTGCCTTCTGCATATATATATATATATATATGGGGTTTATTTGTTTGGGTCAATGAGGATGAATAATCACAATAGTTAAATTTGTTTAGGTATGTTAACGTGTTTCCCAAGCTTAATGCTAACAAGAATGTGTTTGCATTTGCTAAATTGTCGGCGTACATGTAGAAGGGGTAAAATGAGAAGGCGTATATATATATACATTGTAGTGGTTGTGATTACACGGTAATCTATCTTTGTTTTTATCATTTCCGTTACCGATCACCTCCCTGGTAGCACATGTCCAGGTCCTGTCCAGTTCAGCATGCTAAACGTTCCTATGAGAGCATTAGGCTGAACTGGACAGGAAGTATTACCGTGAGACGGCTAAAAACGGTTCCCGTCCAGTTTACGTTGGACCAAGGAAGATGATGCTAGCGTTGACCAATAGAAATTCACCACTATGCGTGACAATCCGGCTGGTCCAGATCCCGTCATTGCCTCCCATGGGTATCCGAATACTGACAACACACTTGAACGCACTATGCGCCTAACCAATATATGGACGACTCGGACCTAGTGTTCACCCGGTACCAGTTGCGGTAGTTTCTGGACTTGGGAACCCACCTAGGCGGCGACTCAAAGCTGTTGGTCAGAAAAGGAAACCGCTCTTACCGCGCACCTGACATCACAAGGCGAAAGAAAATTAAAACCGAGGTATAGGAATGCTATATATACATGAAGGGGTGCAGTACAAAGAACGTTAGTAGCAGAAAGCCGCATAGTCAATATTCTTAATCTGCTTCCGCGAGTGTCAACGTAGGAGGCTAAAGATGTGCCTAAGGAAGCAGGGGACTCACCTCATTGGCACTGCATACTTTAGTTTGCTCAACCGGCGGTCTTTTGTGCCGTGCAGAATGCAACCACGTTTTGATGTGCCGTGTAATGTCAGCATCCGAGGCTGCATCACCCATGCGTTGCCGAATGAGGCCTTGGTAGTTTTTATGGATTACTGCATTTCAACCTACCTTGTACAAGGCCGTTCAGATTTGTTCGCCTGAATGCAAAGGAACCTCTAGCACCGGAGTAATTTATCTCCGCGGCAACTGATCTTGTCATTAGCCGCTCCATGGTACCCCGGACAATGAGTTGTATGTTATCACCGTGCACAGCACCTAAGTGGTTGACCTAAAGCATTTGAATAATATGACGAACTTACGACTCTGATTTTGAAATCCGGGTCCTTCAGCCGTTCATCATATCTCTTTAGCTCACTGAGAGAGATGAATGGCAGAGATAGTCCCGGCGCAACACTTTGGGATTGTCGTTGTAGCATTTGCAACATCGCTTCGGACATGCGACGATGGCCGACCAATTCTGATCGGATGAGACACAACTCATCTAAAAATAAGGCTGAGTGCAATGCAATACATCTGTGGCGTCTTACATTTTATGGCCTGCAGTTCGTGCAGCACATCCAGATTGCTTGGTGGGACGTCAGCAATAACCGGTAGCGGGATTGCTGTTTAATAGGGGCAGTATGAAATCGATACTTACGGTTGCTTGTTGATGGTCCTGGACGTGACGGACTAATGCCACTGAACAGAGAGGAGGGCGCACGTGCGTAGGTTGCTGCAGAAGGCCTTTTGGGTTTGCTTGGACGCGCGGCATCCTCGTCATCGGAGCTCGAACGGACGGGCCGGCGTCTAAGGGGAAATAAAAAACACCATACTCACATTGCACGCTTAGCTGGAAGGCCCGTGGGAATTGTATCGTCTGTCGATGGCAGCATCCCGCGCTCAGATTGCCGTTCCATTTCTCGGACATGTTGCAAGCTAACTAACGAGGTGGGTTAATACAAGAGAAATACTTAGCAGTGCTAACGATTATGGACACGGCAGTGCTAACCACATCGACATCCGGCGCAGTGTGATTTTTCACCGCTGCATAGTAGTGCGTACCTCGCACTGAAGGTATTTGAGCGTACGAACCCTCTTCTCTAAGCCAAGTGTTACTGACAATAGTTATTAAATCCTCGGAGTCAAGGAGCTTGACAACGCTGTATCCTTGAAAAGCCATCATTGCTGAAAAAGAAAGACGTTAGTAGTTAAAGTGTATAACTGTGTGGCATAGGGTAAATTACAAGAAAATCGTTCAAGGGTAAAGCAATGCACTTAAAGAGAATATGACAGACAGAGAAGGTACATACCTCAGTTGACAACTGCGATGCACGGAAGATGTACGCCGTTGAGGAATCCATGCTATGCGTGAACAGACTACGAAGATTCATAAATTCCCGGCATTGCACGACAATGTTCCCGGACACATTCACAGACACATCTGTCAGTACTCTGGGTTTGGCATCGATGATGACCACGGTATCCGGTTTCACAGTGGTAAACAAAATGCCGTGCAAACAAAACGCCTTCTGACCCTTATATGTGCACTTGTCTACATTCCCAACGGTGCTTGCGTTGCTGGAAGTAGGAGGAAGCTGTTCCTCTTCCGACGTACGCCGCATGATTTGAGCAACCGGACGCGGGGAATTGTGAATCATGCGCTTGATGGAAAACAAGTGAGACTCGAAGGGAAATGCTGAGAAGCTGTCTAGAGTCCCCATCTTTCGTACGTCAGCGGGAAGATGAACTAGTGAGTGTACGTTCCACGTCATCTCACTGGGACCATAAAGATCAAAGTAATCATGTAAAAATACATGAATTAAAGGAACAAGGAAATCAAATAAGGCAGTGTGAAGGTGAGGGTGGCACATGATATAAATAGCCAATGAGAGATCTAGAAAGTTTTGATAGAAAGCGTCAGGCAATACCCCAATTAAACAAGCTGGTCCGGCGTATAGCAAAAACTGACGCAACTCAGTTGCCTTCCAAGATCGGTATTCATCCAGTGATCGAAGCTTACGTGGAAAGTCCGATGTCCATGAAGGCCCGAACTCATGCAACCGTTCGTTTGCTAAAATCAATCGCTCTCTGCGCAGTCGAAATCCACTGTCCACGGGCGAAGTAAGCCAGTTTTTTATCATTCTGCGCATAACACCCAAACATACTGAATGCATATAGTCAATAGGGAAGTCCTCAACCAAATCGACATTCAAAGCAGCAAAAGGCGACGGTTGGCTATCATTCCTTCGAACGGATGCATTAGTCCGTAGTGTGCTATCAGTAAGTGGGTACGTTACCTTGCGGCTCATATACTCACCACGTTGGGTGCATTTGTCACAGCTGTAATAACCCGAATGTTCTTTTTTTCTTTTCACATACGCACGTGCAGGGGTATCACAGATAACGGCTTTAAGCTTGAATAATCCTTGGCGTTGCAAAGTACGTATCTCATTAATTGTGTCGTACAAGTAATCGTCCACGTCATTCGGCTTCGAGGTCCCACCATAAACACCAACAATGAATGGCTTCGTGATCACTGGCTTTATGACACGGCACAAGATTGGCCATACATGCATCTTGGATGCATTAAAAGGTTTAAACCCGTCGATATGCAACTGATAATCAACAGTGTCATCAGCGGCGAGCGAAATAGCAGAGCATGCACGCTGTAAACCTCTCAGCAGACCTACGTGACCGTAAGTTCCCGGTGAAACAACGCGAATGCGGGAGGTCCGTGGGGTGCGCATCAACGTCCGGTAATCCTTTGGCAAAAATGGCATCCACGGCTGCACAAGGCACAACAGTGGACGAACAAAAGACGCAGGTACTTGAGATTTTGCGATCAATTTTCTCAAGTTATGTACCAATTCATCGGGGTCCCTGTCATCTTCACTGCGGTTGATAACGTGTGCATGTGGCTGAACTGTGTAAGCAATCATATTTAAGATATGTTAAAGATGCTCTTACCCTTCTGTCGTTTAGCTTCTGACAACAGAAGCACCTCTTCGTAGCTGAATCCTGATTTCATTCTTTTCGCTGCACGGTAAATGGTGCTACGAGACGGAAACTGTGCAGTTAATTGATAACTTCGTCGACGTGACATGCTGAAAGGGAACACTTACGTATCAAACAATGTTTAACCGAAATACCTGATAGGTACACCTGTGGAAACACAGTTTCTATGAAGCTAGACAATAGCGCAGAACGAAGCGGTATCAGCGACCAAGGTTACGAAACCGAAAACGGCCAGATAAATAGACCTGAAGATGCATTTAAACCGCTGGGGTTATGGTCAAATAATAGCAAATATAATGCATTTCAACTATTAATTTATTACCAAATGTCACAATAAATGCACTTAACTGCAAGTAATGCATTAATACCTGAAGTGGACATCTGTCCAGTTTATGTCCAGGTTGCTACGTTTAGTGTTACGTTTGTGCTACCAGGGTAGGCCGACAACCTAGCAAATGCAAACGCATTCATATTTGCATTAAGCTTGGGAAACACGTTAACATACGTAAAGAAATTTAACATTTGCGATTATTCATCCTCATTGACCCAAACAAATAAACCCCTTCCGTGCATCCCATTTTCATAGTAACCATTTATGAACGCAATATCACAGTAACAAATGTTAGTAAGCTATTATTCCTTATCTCATTGCTGCACGTCTTTCCGTATGTCATTAAACATGCACACAGTGATGCCTTTCTCATCATAGTTCCCTATTTCTTATTTCTGCAGATTCACAACATTACGTCTCATTGCACGTTATCTTCAAAGCATCATCCGTAAGTTACACACTTACTATTTACGCAACTTCGTTCATTACCATTACGTAATATCATTAAATTGCCTACAAATATTCCATTTTCATGTCTCCCATGTACATCAGTCTTCCAATTAGCATTTCCGTCAGTGCGGGTTTTCTCGTACCACCTTTCAACGTGAATGCAAGCTTGATATACAACGTCTTTATCTCGTTTTACTAATCTACAAGACAGTATTTTTCCGGTATATAAAGCTACACAGAACATATTCCAACGATCTTCCGACGACGGAAAAAGTATTTTTGGGGTCCACCTTTACTAAACGTTATTTTAAGCCCTTCCATCGGTTGCCGACAACCTAGCAAATGCAAACGCATTCATATTTGCATTAAGCTTGGGAAACACGTTAACATACGTAAAGAAATTTAACATTTGCGATTATTCATCCTCATTGACCCAAACAAATAAACCCCTTCCGTGCATCCCATTTTCATAGTAACCATTTATGAACGCAATATCACAGTAACAAATGTTAGTAAGCTATTATTCCTTATCTCATTGCTGCACGTCTTTCCGTATGTCATTAAACATGCACACAGTGATGCCTTTCTCATCATAGTTCCCTATTTCTTATTTCTGCAGATTCACAACATTACGTCTCATTGCACGTTATCTTCAAAGCATCATCCGTAAGTTACACACTTACTATTTACGCAACTTCGTTCATTACCATTACGTAATATCATTAAATTGCCTACACATGTTCCATTTCATGTCGCCCATGTACATCAGTCCTCCAATTAGCATTCCGTGTGGTTTTCGTAACCTTTCACTTGATGCATTGTTATAAGTCTTTTCCGTTTCTAATCTACAGACAGTTTCCGTATATAAGTACGTAACATTTCGAACGATTTCCGACGGAAAAATATTGCCACATTTACTAAACGTTATTTTAGCCCATTCCTATCGGTTGATTTTCCGCCACCATCACGACCTTACTTCTTTTAAGCACTTTGACTCAGTATAATGTTAACACATCATAAGTCATGCAGTACTATTAAACGATTCACCTTAATTTATGTTACCCATTCTTAGTACTATGAACGCAATTTCTTTCAGCCCACTAATAGATGTACCGGTACCCACCAAAAAAGTTCAAACTTTTCCGCCGACCTCCTTTCAGACTTTCCCTCGGTAGAACGAGACACATCTGTAAAGGCGCGATCAAGTATGCATAAAAGAATAGCTCCTTTGGAATAGTAAAACTTTAGGGTGTAATCAAAGATATAACCGAAAAGATGCAGTCCATGCGAGGGAACATATTTCAGGTAATAGTCAGACCAAGAAACATGATGACGCTTGGGCGCGTAAAAATCAGTTATAACTGTTGCGTCAATACACAAGTTAGGCGTGATTTCGCCGAGGAGTAAGCCATGAGCACACGAGCCCAAACGAGGTTCTGGTGCAATCAACGGCCATTAAGAACTCGTACTGATCCGCGCTTCATCAAAGCATTCTTCGTTGTAAAATCAGTTGCACTGGTCGTATGTAGAAGGCTGAAGACTGCGGCAGTGTGAAACGTGCAGCTGCGACTTTAGTCAGTGACGAGTCACATCCGCCACGTTTCAGCGTTCTTAATTGGATAGTTGTGGATTTTTGTAGGAAGGAGGCTGGCTAGGAGAAAGCACACCACGTCCTGGAACACTGCCGTAGCTTCCGTTTAACGGTAGTGCTAGCCGGC